ATTCATCTCACCCATCCTTATGTCTCCCATTAAAAAATGGGCTTAGATTAGGATTAAATTTTACAATGTTTCTTAATCATTCTAATTAGTATTTTTAACCATTGTCCAGTGATCTTAAGTAGCTTCTGTACCTATTTCCATTCCACTTTTTGTAGAAGGTGTGTCAACTGTTTATGGGGTGGTTCAGCCCAGCTCTGCAACTAGTGCAGTGGGGGAACTCACGGACGCATGCCCTGGAAAGAGAAAACAGCAAAAACAATCTGAAGAGAAACAAACTAAATACGATTCTGGAATGCAAGGTAACACACTCTAATACAACATAATACAATATAATTAGAATTTCTGAAGCTAATAAATCAATTTAAATGAGAGAGAGTGTCTAAAAACAGAAGATCTTACCCTAATGCTGAGGAAAAATGTGCAGTCAGGATGAGAAGAAGGGGAGAGAGCCAGGTCTTATGACTTTGCCAGGTGTTTTATCTCCTCTATCAACACAAAGTCCTCTGGTGCATATAGTTCTTTTCATCTGGATCAGGTGCCTGGAACTGGAGTATTAACACTTTAACTCCCAGTGCACTACATGATGTTATGATGTGGAACACCAATTACAAAAGTCATAAAACCATGACATTCCACCCCTTATTCTACATCACTACATCATGCTTAGTATACATAAATAAACAATAATTGACAAGCACTAAACACACACACACACAAATATATATACGTGGAATTACTAACTGCACTCCCCCAACATCAAATTCCCTTGTAGTACACATTGAACATCCTCACTTTTCTGCATTGCTCACCAAGTAAACCCAGGTCCCTGAGCAAAAACTGTTCCATGGAGAGGTTTGCGCTTTTCAGAAGCTGGAAAGACCCAATCTGCTTTTCTCACCATGTTCTTTACATGTACTACTGGGACCTCATCTCCCTTGACAGTATGTAGGGAGATGGCAGAACCATGGCAATTGATAGATCCTCAAGTCTTGACCAACAAGATGGCTTCTACCAAATACTTCTCCCAGTGCTTAAATGTTCCACCACCCATTGCTTTAAAAATGTTTTTTAACAACCCACTGTATCCTTCAATTCTACCAGAAGATGATAAGGGATATGATAAATCCCCTCAATGCCATCATCCTTGGCCCAAGTATTTACAAAACACTTTTTGAAATGAGTCCCATTATCTGATTCAATTCTTTCTGGAGTATCATGTCGCCACAGGACTTGTTTCTCAAAACCTTGTATGTTGTTTTGGGCAGTAACAAGGGGTACTGCATATGTTTCAAGCCACCCACTGTTGCCTCCACCATGGTAAGCACACCACGCAAGATTGTGGCAAGGTGATATAATCAACCTGCCACACCTCCCCATATTTATACTTCTGCTATCGCCCTTTCCTCCTAAAAGGTTTCATCCTTTTGGTTTGTTTAATTGTGGTGCATGTGTCACAGTCATGAATAACCTGTGCAATAGCATCTGTAGTTAAGTCCACCCCTCGGTCTCTAGTCCACTTATATGTTGCATCTCCTCCTTGATGGTCTGAGGTCTCACAGGCCCACCAAGCTAGAAATAATTCATTCTTGTGTTGCCAGTCCAAGTCTATTTGAGTCACCTTAATTTTGGCAGCTCGATCTACCTGATGGCTATTTTGTTGTTTTTTAGTAGCCCAACTCTTGGGCACATGAGCATCTACATGGCACACCTTTACCTTTATCCTTTATCATATCCTTTATTCGAGCAGCAGTGTGTTTCCTCATGTCAGCAGCCCAGATAGGTTTCCCTTCCATTGCCAGTTGTTTTGCTCTAATTGCTGTAACCACTCCCATAAGGCATTTGCCACCGTCCATGAATCAGTGTAAAGATAGAGTATTGCCCACCTCTCCCATTCAGCAACATCTAGGGCCAGTTGGACAGCCTTTACTTCTGCAAACTGACTCAATTGTCCTTTTCCTTCTGTGGCCTCTGCAACTGCTGCTGTGGGGCTCCACATATCAGCTTTACATCTCTGATGTTTCCCCTCAGTACTACACGATCTATCTGTGAACAGGGCAAATTTCATTTTCTGGTAGTTCACTGTATGGTGGGGCTTCTTTAGCTCACAGTATTTCTTCTGCTTGTGATGTTCTAAACTTTTTACCTTCAGGCCAGTCCTTGAACATCTCTAGGATTTCTGGACGTCTCAGATTACCTATCCAAGCTCGTTGTGTAATCAACACAATCCACTTATTGTAAGTGACATCAGCAGCATGGTGGGTGTAGGGAACCTCTCCTTTGAACATCCAGTTTAGCACCAGCAGCTGAGGTGCCAGAAGGAGCTGTGTTTCAGTACCAATCACTCAAGAAGCAGCCCAAACACCCTCATATGTGGCTAAGATCTCCTTTTCAGTTGGAGTGTAGCACTCTTCAGACCCCCTGTATGCTCTCCTTCAGAATCCCAGGGGTCGGCCTCGGGTCTCTCCTGAGGCTCTTTGCCACAAACTCCAAGTGGGACCTTTCTCTCCAGCAGCAGTGTAGAGGATATTCTTTACATCCTGTCCTGTCCATACTGACCTCAGGGCCATGGCACAGGCTATCTCCTGTTTAATCTGTTCAAAAACCTGCTGCTGCTCAGGACCCCGTTCAAAATAATACTTCTTCTGTGTCATCTGATGGAGGGGGCTTACAACGAGGCTATAATGAGGCAGTGAGTTTGAAACATGCATTCTCTAAAAGCCCACTTCACCCAGAAAAGATTCTCTTATTAGTGGGTGGAGACATGGCAGTGATTTTGCTGATTACATCTGTTGGAATGTGACCACATCCATCTTGCCACTTTATACCTAGGAACTGAATTTTGTGGGCTGGTCCTTTCACTTTGCTTCACTTATTAGCAAAACCAGCACGCAGAAGAATTTGGATTATTCATTCTCTTTTCTTGAAAACTTCTGCTCTGTCACTCCCCACAGCAATATCATCAACGTGCTGCAGATGCTCAAGAGCACCACCCTGTTCCAGTGCAGTTTGGATCAACCTGTGACAAATGGTTGGGTTGTGTTTCCACCTGTGGGGCAAATGGTTCCTCCAGGTGAAAGTAAACTGTAGCCTATATTCTATGGCCAAAGGAATGGAAAGGCATGAGCAATGTCAATGGTGGCATACCACTTGGCTGCTTTTGACTGCAGTTCATATTGGAGTTCTAATATGTCTGGCACAGCAGCACTCAATGGAGGTGTGACTTCATTCAGGCCACAGTAATCTTCTATCAGCCTCTGTTTTCCATTGGCTTTACACATTGGCCATATGGGGCTGTTAAAAGGTGAGTGAGTTTCACTGATCACTCCGACTTTCTAGCTGATGAATCAAATTATGAACGGGGAGCAAGCAATCCCTGTTGGTGCAGTAATGCTGTCTGTGCTCCATTTTTGTGACAATTGGTACCTGTTGCTCTTCCACTTACAGCAACCCCACAACAGACGGATCTTCTGATAGACCAGGGTATCTGAAGCTCATAATGCAGCCATCCTTGCTTTGCTCCATCACGGTGGTTGCTCTTCACACTGCATGGCCTGGCCCAGTCCCAGGCACAACCATCACTGAGCACCAACTGAACATTGGTGCACGATTAGCTCCATCTGGGCTGAAACTGGCACACAAGGAGGGCACAGGGCAGTGCCATCTCAATCTGCGGCAAATATTTGTACGCATTGTGATATCTGGGCTAAACACAGTCCTGCGAGCAGTGAAAATATGCAGCTGTGCTTTCTCTTTTGATCAAGGAATTTGAAACTAAGTTTCAAAATAGCCAAAAAAATCATCATTTTTTTTATTTGCAACCCTATTTTCAGGTAATATAAAAATGTCACCTGCAAATTTTTTAATGGAGTGTATGGAGGTGCAATCCAAAATGTGATCAAGTCTCTTTATCAGACTTCCATAAGACCTCTCTTACCACAGAGAAATACCCCTCACTCCACCATCACACCTGATTCATGTCATCACTTTTGGCAGTTTGCACATTTGTAAGCAACTACAATCAAAGATGAAGTACAGGAAGAGTAAAATTTCATCAAAAGTCTCTGATGAGCAACTTGAGAGCTCACTAAGGATTGCAGCCTCTGCCACTGAACTACAATGATGCATCAGTTCTACAAAAGCAAGGTCACATATTCAACTGTTTTTATGTTTTTGTTGCCCTCTTTTTTAATGTTTTAATAAAAAGAAAACAACATTAAATTAAGTTCTGTTGCATGCAGCAGAAATGACAGTGGGTCACCTCCCCTGGTGCAGCCTATTATGTATGCTGCATGCAGACTCTTATTGCTCATGGCTGGCAAAAATGCATAGCTAATAGTGACTGTGTTGAAAAAGAGTGTAGATGGAAATTTGCTCTACTAATGCTATTGTGCTCTCTGTATTGGTCATAGTTTCCACTTTAATAAGTAAGAGGCATTACTTTCAGATGAACTTTTGTAGATGCAGTCCTAGACAACGAGTCTTCACTCAATGCAGCACAGGCAAGCCAAAAGGTACAGCATTTCTTCATTTGTTTAAGTTCTAGTTGAACACAACAAAATAAATGTTCTAGCACATAACTCTATATTGCCCATCTACATGCCTTCTGCAAGATGTTAAATGCACCTGTGTTTAGGTTGAATTTAATGTTAGTTACCTTCTAACAGGTTTAAGAAATAGCTTTATTAACCACCAAAATCAAGAAAAAAAAGTTCTTCCATAGCAAATGGAGTCACTAAAAAATGTTTAGAATATAAGCTGTGAGAGAATACTATCAGCGTATTTTCCAAGAGATTTTAATATAGCAGAAATTCAAGTCTGATTTGTGCATCTTCCCAGGCTGAATCATGACTCTAAGTAAAGATATATGTTTTTGCTTTTAAATATATGGAGATTGATACATTAGAGACAGATGAAAATGAGATACATCATTAGACATCACTCCCCCAAAGTAGCTGAATACTACACTACCTGCACAGGGATTGAAAAAGCCATGCCGTGAGTCTGTTAGTATTCATGTCTTAATTTATTCTGTAATTGCATTCAGAATAGAAACATAAATACCTTAAGCAATTAACACAGTCTTTCAAACCACTGTTTAGCCAGACTGACTTTCATTTTCTAAATAAAGGCCTAACTTGATTGGGTTCAATAGAACTGTTGCTACTTTTCCAGCAGTGGACCTGTAAGCCGAATAACTCGCTCACGCTATCAAAACAGTTCTAGTTGTTTGGAGGAATACACTGTTGGATCATTGGAGGAATACACTGTTTTTACATTCTGATCCACTAAAAACATAGCAAGATAATCAAATTTGAGATTAGGGCTTGTGCTGTTCCCACAGTGTCTGGCTGAGGTACTGCTCCACCTCTCACCAGTGTGGTGGAGCACCTCGGGCTGCATCGACAGTGCACTTAGCTCAACATCTGTTTACTGCACAAACAAAATAAGCTACAAAGAAAGTTCAATGCTGGAGGCTTTAGATGACAAATAAAAGCTGAACATAATGATTGTCTTATCTTTAGTCATCTTTCCCATCCACACATACAGGACATAGTTAAAATGACAGACTTAAACAAATATATTGCTTAAACCCCTGAATAGTTTTTTGTTTTTCTTTTGTTTTTTAAATTACTAGCTATATAAAAATATTGTTGATGTGTCTATATACATGCTTTTTCCCTAGCAAAAACTGACACCTATCTGCCATTTATTCTTGGTTACCTCATTCAGAACCTGATTTCAAGTGACACAGTCTTGCTGAAACACTGAGTTCTAGTACTGAAGGCAGCATGTGCCTCTTCCCAACAATGGAAACACTGGCAAATCTCACAAAGTTGCATAAATTCTGTTGCTGTTCTGATGACAGCAAAGTATACAAAGTAATTTACTTTGCCTTACACTATCTACTAACAAGCACAGTATGTGCTCCTGCGTTTCATCCCCTCAAATCCCTTCCTATTTTTTACCGTCTTGCTCAATCCAGACTGTTCTCTGACTTAGGAGGAAAGCAATACCATGGGAGGGGAAATAAATTCTTCTGATCTGATTGGTTCTTGATACTGGCTTTTCTGGTTCTGAATGTACTCTGGTTAAAGAACAGCTCTGCCTCAATACCTCACACCTTTCAATCCCTAGCTATATGAAAAGAAAATAAGTTGTGACTTCAAATACAATACTCTGTGAAACCAGACACCTTTCTAACAGTTCTGTGTAACTCTATAGCTCAACTGCTTTAAATGATCAGCAAAGAGGTAACAGCAATGCATCACTACTGAAGTCATCAGCACACTGTCCATCATTGCACTCTTAAACTAGAAAATTTTTAGAATCAAGAGAATATCCAAAATAAATCCTTCAGGTTTGCTGGCACCTTCCATGTATTTTCCTCATCTGAAAACTGTAGAACTGTATTATGCTGACATAAAAAAATCTGGCTCTGGTCTCTGCCTCCTGTAGTCTCTGTTGTTATTCACTTGAATTTCTGACACAATTGTCAGAAACAATAGACTATATCTATTGAAACACACAAAGCCAGTTTACTTGGTTTTTACACAACAAATTATAATGCATCATAATGCAAAATAAAAGGCCCACTTGGCTTTCAGATATTTGTCCTCATTCACTACATCTTTCCATTCCTTGGCCTCATACTGAAAACAACTCTGCTGATAAAAAAGAAACATGCATGGAGATATGTATATTAAAAGACATCATCAAATATTAAAATATTCCAAGAATTTTCTTACAAGTCTTCTTTCTTTGTCTGCTCTGTGCTTCATCAGCCTATCTTCATCGGAAAGCTTAAAAGGCCATTTTACATCATACAAATAAGGCTGGATAACTCTATAGAGATGAGAGTCCTTAAACAGGGTATCTGAATAGGGACCTTGTGATCTTTTCTACAGCATCTAGTGCTCTGCAAACATCATCCTCATGTCTACAAGTGTCTCATGCTCCTTTTGACTTGCTTCTCCAGCAGTGAAGTGCTTCTGTAGGTTTAAACTGAGCTCTTTATGAAGACACTGACATATATCTGTATCACAACCCCTTAATTAGTACCTGAAGCCTTAAAAAAATACAATGAATATGCAGATTAATGACTATCTATGTAGCCTATGTAATTGGGAAAAACAAATACAGTACACCGTACACACAGCTTCCTCTGTAATCATGTCAGCACTCATGCCACAGAGCAGTATTGCTAGGGCTTTCTTACTCAATTATCAGTACCACTAGAAAGCAGCACACTCTAGCATCCAGGGAAAGTGATTACTCAGTATGATTGGTGGTAAAAGAGCACCCTCTGAACTTCCAGGCTGTGAGGGAAACAAAGAAGACAGGAAAGACAGGAAGACTAACCAAGGAGTTTAAAAGGAACACAAGAACACACAAAACCCCACAGAGAAGTGAATTCTTTGTTAAGACAACAAAGGCTGTTTCATGTCATCATCTGTAAGCATTTTAAACAGTGCTGTATACCTTAACACATAAAGCAGATTTGAAAAACTCTTACTACTTGGTGTCTTTTTTCTTTTTTCTTTTTTTTTGCAGTGGCTAATGCCCAAAGAGCCAATATTCCAGGGGAACATCTACCATGTGAATACATTTTCCTTACCAAAACTGTATTGTACTACTAATTGTACTAATTGTATTACTGGCCCCAAAACACTAGGCTACAAGGTATCTTCCCAAACTACAACACAGCTACACTTGCACTGGTAAAGTACAGGGAAAATTACAATCTCAACTGAGAAATGGATGCATACCAACACTGAATGCTCAGTGTCAGGTTTTAAACAGATCTAAGGACCTAGCAGCACAGACAGTAGGCTTTCCAAAGTCCCCACGCCTATCAGCATCGCTTGGTGGTTAAATATCCTTAAAAACATGACCCTCCACCTCCCTGTGGCTCTGAGCTTACCTATAGCTTGTATTTTTTACATTCAGTCAGCCATATTTTAAGATGCTTAGTTCACTTACTAGAAATTTCAACAGAAAACTCTACTGTACTGTTCCATGACGTTGGTAGTCTGTGCTGCTCTGCTCCAAAGCCTATGCCTAAGCAACTTAATGATACTATCTGTAGTTTTAGTATCTGTAGGGTTTTCAGCTAAGGAAGACAAAACTTAAGCTAGAAAACACAATTCCACACAAAACTTAGTAAAAACAACTATTTAGAAGTGCCAAGTACTATAGGGGAACCACTGCAGGTTTGCTATTTTTTGCTATTTTAACAACTACATGTGTGATTAAAAGTCCACTAAAAACTAGGGAAAGACACCTCATGACTTATACTAGCTTTGGATCAGCTGTAAGGGCATTTCTTTATCTAAGCACTGAGACTGTTATATACAACAGTTAACAATCTGCAGTTACAACATTAAAGAAATGCCGATAATAAATACTTCATTTGCTAACATGAGCAAATAGCTTCCTTATGAATAGTACTGTTTAACAGTATGGCTTCGGACCATCTCAATGATAAAGCAAAGCAAATTAACATAGAAATTAAAGATGCATTAAAGGTACAAACTACATAAATTAAAAACTTAATCTGTAAACACATATATATATATAAATTGCATCTCCTATGAGCTGCTGTCTGTACAGCAATGTGCACACACAAAATCCTGAGCACTCTACTCTCTGTACTGCTGTTGAGAGCCAAGTTTCTGATCAACTTTTCAAATTTACATTCACATTTTCTGTTTTCCACCTAAGGAAGTAAGGGATGTATAGGTTCAGAGTACTCACACAGCTGCAGTGTGCTAAGCAGGAAAAAAGATCTTGTGCTGTGAAATAGGAATGTATTCTAAGTATGACATCAAAGTTGTCTGGGTCCCTCTACAACACAGGTTCAGGAATCATTCAGGAACAATGTTATTCACCTTTGCGTTCAGTAGTTAACCTATGTTAAACTAATCAATATAATTTGATTGCAAGAAATGCACAGGCTTCTAAGTCAGTTTTTGTTTATGATTTCAGTGCCTTTTTGAGGTCAGAGTAGAAATTGGCCAGGGTACTAGCCATGGCAGTGTCTACTGCAGACTGAGGTAGCATCCCTCGCAGTTCGGTCTGAATATAGCCCGTCAAAAGGCTGTGGCTAGGACAGTCCTTAAGAGGGACGCAGAACCAGCCACACGGGTGATTGAATCCACGGACAAAATTAGGTCTCACCTCTCCGTAGTTAAGGCTTATACCTGTCATGGAAAGCAAACAAAAAAGAGAAAATTTGAATTCGAGACAGATACAGTGTATTTCATAGCAACTCCTTTTTCTACTTGGAGAATTTAGAAGTACTTTGCAGAGGAAGCAGTCCAGGAGGTTTCTAGACTGTGTGGAAGACAGCTTCCTTACGCAACTGGTAGGAGAGCCTACCAGGGGTGTTGCCCTGCTGGACCTGGTCTTCACTAACAGAGAAGGACTGGTGGGAGAAGTGAAGGCTGGGGACCGTCTTGGGCAGAGCGACCATGGAATTGTAGAATTCTCCATTCTTGGAGATGTCAAAAGAGTGGCCAGCAGAACTACCTTCTTGAACTTTCAGAGAGCGGACTTTGATCTGTTCAGGACGCTTGCAGCGCGCGTCCCTTGGGAGTCACTTCTCAAGGGTAAGGGGGCCCAGGAAGCTCGATGCTTCTCAAAATGGAAATCTTAAAGGCGCAAGAACAGGCTGTCCCTGAATACCGTAAGGCGAGCCGTGGGGGAAGATGACAGGTGTGGATGAGCTGGGAACTACTCAGAACTGAGTTAAGACTCAGGGAGAAAAAGAGGGTCTACATCCTCTGGCAGAAGGGACAGACTACTTGGGGAGATTACAAAGTATGCAGGAAGAAAGTTAGGAAGGCAAAAGCCCAACTTGAACTCTGGTTGGCCTATGCAGTAAAAGAAAATAAAAAATCCTTTTATAAACATATCAATGGCAAAAGAAGAACCAAAGATAATTCTTATCCTATGCTTGATGCAGCAGGGAATGTGGCCACTGAGGACAAGGAGAGGGCTGAGATCCTCAATGCCTTCTTTACATCTGCCTTTAATAGCCAGATCAGTCATCCTCTGGGCTTTTTATGTCCTGATCTGGAAGTCTGGTACGCTGCACAGAATATGCCTCCTGCAATTCAGGTGGAGACAGTAAGAGAGCTTCTCCTCCATCTGGACAGTCACAAGTCCATGGGACCGGATGGGCTGCACCCTTGGGTGCTGAGGGAGCTGGCGGGGGTGATTGCTGAGCCCCTCTCAGCGCTCCTGGTTCCGGAGGATTGGAGGCTTGCTGTGACTCCCATCTTCAAGATGGGCCATAAGGAGGATCAGGGGAACTGTAGGCCTGTTAGCCTGACCTCGGTACTAGGGAAAGTATGGAGCAAATCATCTTGGACGAGATTGCACAGCATGTGCGCGGTGTCCAGGGGATCAGGCCCCGCCAGCACGGGTTCATGAAAGGCAGGTTGTGCTTGACCAACCTCATCTCCTTCTATGACTGGGTGACCAGTTTGGTAGATAAGGGAAGGGCTGTTCACAGAATCACAGAATTGTAGGGGTTGGAAGGAACCTCCAGAGATCATCGAGTCCAACCCCCTGCCAAAGCAGGTTCCTACACCTTGATGTAGTTCTACCTAGACTTCAGCAAAGCCTTTGACACGGTCTCTCACATGCTTCTGGGTAAACTGGCTGCCCGTGGTCTGAACAGATATACACTTCTCTGGGTAAGGAACTGGCTAGAGGGCCATGCCTATTGGGAGGTGGTGAATGGAGTTAAGTCCAGCCGGGGACCCATTTCAATTGGTGTCCCCCAGGGGTCGGTACTGGGGCCCATCTTGATTGATATCTTTATTGATGACCTAGATGAGGGGATTGAGTGCACCCTCAGTAAGTTTGCAGATGACACCAAGCTGGGAAGTGGTACTGATCTGCCTGAGGGTAGGGAGGCCCTTCAAAGGGATCTGGATAAGCTGGATCACTGGGCTGAAGGGGATGGGATGAGATTCAACAAGGCCAAGTGGCAGGTCCTGCACTTTGGCCACAACAACCTCATGCAGTGCTGTAGGCTTCGGGATGAGTGGCTGGATGACTGTGAAGAAGAGAGGGACCTGGGCGTATTGGTTGATGCTTGGCTGAACATGAGCCAACAGTGTGCCCAGGTGGCCAAGAGGGCCAACGGAATCCTGGCCTGCATTAGAAATAGTGTGGCCAGCAGGAGCAGGGAGGTGATCATCCCCTGTATTCCCTGTCACTACAAGAAAGACATTAAGGCCCTGAAGCGTGTCCAGAGAAGGGCAACGAAACTGGTGAGGGGTCTGGAGCACAAGTCTTATGAGGAGAGGCTGAGGGAGTGGGAATTATTTAGTCTGGAGAAGAGGAGACTCACGGGAGACCTCATTGCACCTGAAGGGAGGTTGTGGTGAAGACAGATTTGGCTTCTTCTCCCAGGCAACACGGGGAAATGGCCGCAAGTTGGGCCAGAGGAGGTTTAGATTAGACACAAGGAAAAACTATTTCTCTCAGAGAGTGGTCAGGCACTGGAATGGCTGCCCAGGGAGTTGGTGGAGTCGCCGTCCCTGGCAGTGTTCGAGAGGCATCTGGACAACGTGCTGCGTGATGTGGTTTAGTGCTTGTGGTGGCAATGGTGATGAGGAGATGGTTGGACTACATGATCTTATAGGTCGTTTCCAACATTGTGATTCTATGATTCTATGACTCTACTGCCAGAAACACTTCTACATTTTTGGGTACTTTCATGCCTGAAAGCTATCTGCTGTCCATCCAAACTCATTCACAGACAAACAGAGCTTGACAAGCAGAAATCAACATTAAAAGACACTCCTTCCACTAACGAGCTTCTTACTCTACTCATTTTGAGTAGAGCTGAGACAGGCCACACAACTTGCCTGAACCATCTCACAGTCAACATAAATGACTCTTGGCACAGAGATGGGTAACGCAGTAACTTATATACTTTTTCAAGTCTGTAGAACTTCTAAAATCTTCTGAAATACTTGTTGGAGATCATCTTATAGCATTTTTGAATGTTTACTGCAGAACCATTATTAATTCAAATTGTATCTTAAGCTAAACAGCCATTGTTAAAAATTAAGCAGAGTTGAGTGGTACCTTACCACATGATAGAAGCCCATCTTCATAGCTTGTGGTGTAAGAAAAATCAACAAACTCCCTTGGTGCTATGATGTTCCAGAGCTGTCCAGCAGTGGTGTAGCGCATCACACAGCAGTTCTTGTTGAGTGAAAGAGTGTTGAGTGAAAGAAGGAGAGAAACAAAACAAAAGCATCTTAGTTTAATAAATGACACTGTATTCAAACTTGTCAGCAGCTAGCCTTTTCCACAGAGATGGCAGCTTCTATCAATTACATGCCCTCCAGACCAACTTTAGTGAGGTATAAAGAAGATGCTGCTTTTAGTCTAAACACTGAAGTTTGCCGGGACTTGCCATCTGCAGCTGCAGAGACTGAGAACATACGGTACCTTTAATCCTGACTGACTGTAGTTACAGAACTGTAGTCACACCTGGAAACTAAAAGCCATGTATGTTTTATATGGCTTTCCCACTACCTAGGAAGTCCAAAAGGAGCATGAACAAATTGCGAGACCACTCTCAGCAGACATAAAGCCTCATGCAAGGTTACCCACAGCATGTATATCCACTACCCATGCAGACAAATAAGCATGGAAGAAAAACATCAGTACTTATTGAAACAACTGCTCTTCTGAATGTTAGATTCACATGAGTCTACAGGCACTTCCCTTCAAAATCTAAACAACTCTTTACCTCTTCAAACATTTCCACGATGTCCATTGTAGTCATTAAGCTGTCCCAGTCAAGCCTGTAAGGTCCAGGACGAATATGATCCACTATTCTGTTAGTAACATCTTCCACCACTCCTTGAGCTTTGTACCTGGAGAAATGTAAGTTTATACTTAAAAGAGATTAATTTTTATCAAGTATTCCATTAATCTGCAACAGCATATTTACTAGAATACCTTGGTACCTAGAACTTTATAGTCAGTGGAAAAGTGCATTAGAAAGGTAGTACAGGAAAGATCTGAGAATGCATCTGGTTTTTTTGTTTTTTTGTTTTTTGCAATAAATATTATTATGAGAGTAATACCCTTACGCTATAATCTATATCTTCTGATTTGCAATTTAAGAGAACTGTCATGTTTCCTGTAACATGTTTTTCTGCTGCTCTTGAAAGGAGAACAAGGGAATCTGCCAGGGAAAAGTAAAACTAACAACAACAACAACAAAAATGAGAGCAGAATACAATGGGAAAAATAGTTTTCATAAAGTAGAAGTAACGGTAATAGAATCAAGATGAAGATAAACTACATTCTGCTTTGTAGCCTACCACAGTACCAAATAATCTGGTGTAAGACACTGCAGAATGTTTATTTGTTGTATTTTAAGTATACAACAGATGTTTTGGTTACCAGAGTTACTGGGTTTCAAGCTCCCGAGGGGATGAAATTGATCACAGTCATTATTTTCAAAACACCTCTTATCCATTGAGCAGCTCTTTTCAGTTGTAGGTAACTAGTGTCACAACTCACTGATTTATTTACTTGCGCAGTTCACCCCTTTCCACTCACAGTTACCTGGAAAAAAACCAGCTGTTTTTTCTTCAGAGGACCATATTAAAAGGTCATTGCCTTCCAGTTTTGCATTTGGAAAAGTTCTTCAAAGTGTTCTTTCTTAATCAGGTTTATACACAATCCTGCACTCACTTGCATATAGCAGCCATTCCCCTGTTGGCAGTAGTTCAAGTTACACAACCTGGTGTTGACAGTGTGCTGGTGCTCTGTACAGGGTCAGTAGACACTGTGTACCTAGTACCATCAACCCTTAACAAATTTACCGGAACAGAGTACCTAGAGTGTATCAGTCCTTGACATTCTTTTCAAACATTATCTTTTCACAGCACTTTCCATTTCTTCAGATTGTTGTTTTCTACTAAATACTTCTACCTGCAAATAACTACAAAACCACTGATAAAGTCACAGGAAGGCTCTGTGTCATACACCTCTCCCACAGCTACAAGCTTGATATTTTGTTCTATCAGTTTCATAGCCAGTAAGAGTGTACAAACACTGTCCGTGTTGTCACTCAACAATGCTGCAAACCTACCAAACCTGTATGTGATTGCATGGTTTGCAGACTGTCTTTCTAAAATGCTTGGGTACTTCCCAATGTGCACATCAGCCAGTGGGAGCTTTGTGGTGTGCTCCATAGTTTCGATTATTCATTATTCTAGACAGCAAACAAGCATGAAATATCAAAATATAACACTAAAAAGAAACAGCATAGGTCTTTACAAGACAACAAGGCACAGTAGATAATTTACTTAGCTGCTCCTGCAGAAAATCTGTGTAATTTGTTCACAGCCATCATTTCCAAAATACTAAGTATATTTGGGGAATCTTAAAAATTCAACATCTTGGCAAGCGTACTTACAGGTATCCGCTGAATTCTTCTGATGGTTTACGCCACACCACTGCATCTTTCTGGAAGAAAATTAAAGCTATTATGTTAATAGTAATTTAAAAACCCTTCCAAGATGTACACAAAAAATGCCTCAATTTATCCAGAAGGCCAACTGTATTCTGGGCTGCTTCAAAAAGGGGGTGGCCAGCAGCACCAGGAAGGTGATTGTCCTCCTCTGATCTGCCCTCATGAGGCCTCATGTCAAGTACAGCACCCAGCTCTTGGCCCAAAACGGATCCAGAGGAGAGCCTTGAAGACTATCGGAGAGCATGAGCATCTCTTCTATGAAGACAGGATGATGGAGGTGGGCTTGTTCAGCCTGGAGGAAGGAGGCTCTGGGGAGACTTCATTGCAGCCTTCCATACTTACAGGAGACTGACAGGAAGGCTGGGGAGTGACTCTGTCAGAGACCATATTAATAGGACAAGAGATTAAGGTTTTAAACTAAAAGCTAGGAGATTCAGATTAGATACCAGGAGGAAATTCTTTCTTCAGAGGGTGGTGAGGTGCTAGCATGGGCTACCCAGAGAAGTTGTGGCCTCCCTGGAGGTGTTCAGGCCTGGCTGGATGGGGCTCTGAGCAGTGGGGAACTAGGTGATTTTTAACGTCCCTTCCAACCCAAACCATTCTGTGATTGTGAGAGGCTTAGGTGCTCTGTTCCTCCTTTTGAAGACACTGAATTTGTTAATTTAGTAAATAATCAAGTCATATTTGGAACACTTCACCTCTTACCAATGCTAACAAGGGAAAATAAAATATAAGAACAACCAAAAGTTTTGTTATAAAAGGGAAAAGATAAAAGTTGATGACAATAAGCTTATCAAACAGCTAAACCGAATGCCAGAGCACGACTGTGACACATCTACGTGACCTACACCTGCTAGCAGACACGGGAGGGGCCGCCGCACCACTCACAGTTTTCCTGGCGAACCGCCACTCGCTGTCGGCGATGCTGTGGTAGCGGAGCAGAGTGTTCTTCAGCCTGGTAGCCAGGGGCGCGGGGTCCGGCAGCAGGTCCATCGGCGCTCTTCCTGTGCAAACACACGGCCCCACACATTGCCACCGGGCACCCCACCGCCCAGACCCGCAGGCTCTGTGCCTGCCTTCTGCCTGCCCCCACCAGCCGTCCCCCGCACTCAGCGCAGTGCCAGCCCCGACCCTGCCGCCCCGTCCCGCCGCCAGCCCTGCTCCGCTCACCCGCGGATACCGCCACGGTCCGCACCTCGCTCCCTCCCAGCTCCGGCGGGCGGCCCGGCGGCTCCGCGGCCCAATCGGCCGATGCCGGCAGCCAATGAGAACGCAGTAGGTTTCCTGCGCGGCCAATGGCGACGCTGGCCGCCTCGGCAGAGAATGCGGTTCGGGGTGGGGAAGGGAAGAGAACGAGGGAGCGTGACCGGCTCAGTCCCTGCCCACCGTGCCTATCAGCTCGTATCGCGCGACGTGCCGCCGGCGCGCCATCACCAGCTGGAGGCTGCAGGGAGGCTCCCCGTAGGCTGCCGCGGGGCAGGCACGTGCTTTGATTGGGCGGAGGAGAGACGTATTCCGTCCGGCTCCTGCCAGTCAGCGCGCTGTGAGGGTGGTGCCCTGGGGTCGCCGGCTGCGCGCGGGATTGTAGGTAGGGCTCCGCTTCCTTGCGGGCTGCTGCTTGGTTTGAATTGCCGGTGTGAGCGTGCCCGCCTGGCTTAGTCAACTTTTGGGTGAAGGAATGGCATGTTTTTATTGGAAAACGGCGATTTTTGAATAAAACCAAATTAGTGGAAGTGTGTCACCTTGTCATGGATTAGTCATTCCGTGTAGGGGCTCGGCACAGCTGAGTGGTTTGGTTGGACTGGGTCCATTGGCACTGCTAGATCACAGAATCACAGATCACAAGTGCGAAGGGACCACAATGATCATCAAATCCTGCCCGTGAGTCCGTGTGGCACCATGCAACATTCAGACACTATGTCTGACTGTTTAGTCCGAACAAACTTAGAACTCCAGCACAGGGGCCGTGCCCACCTCCCTGTGCAGCCCATGCCGTGCCCCCCGCCCTGTGGTGCAGAACCCATTCCCCAGCACCCCCAGCTGCCCCTCCCTTGGCTCCATGCCGTTCCCTCGGGCCCTCTCGCTGTCACAGAGCGGAGCTCAGCGCTGCCCCTCTGCTCCGTGTGCGGAGCTGCAGCCGCCGTCAGGCCTCCCTCAGCTCCTCTGCTCTGGGCTGAACGCACCCAGGGACCTTGGCCACTCCTTATGCATCTTCCCGTCCAGACCCTTCACCACAGAACATCAGCCAATGAAACCTTAACACCTTAAAGTTTGTTTCTTGCTGAAAACATGCACAGATTCTATTCAAGCACTAAATGTCACACAGACTACAAAATCCAATTCACCTGCAGTCTCTATTAGGAGGCTCTTTTTAATCCGGAGGTGAGAAAAAGTTTTTTTTCCACAGAAATGTTCAGAAGCATGAAGAAAACAAAACTTAATTTTGCTGTTAGACAAGCACATCAACCACTGGAGCTGTTCCTCATAGCCGGACAGCTCATAATTCCTGCAATGCTGTCAATTAGCCTCAACAAAATACTTTTGTGAAAACCTTCACGTCTGACCTTGAGACAGTTATTTGAATTCTTCTTTGTGTGTATTCAGGTAAATGTACATTGTGCTACTACTCTGCTGTTAGACAGCAATGGAAAGGAAATGTTCTTTTTTTTTTTTTTTTTTTTTTAAAGCAGGCACACATGTAATGAAAGTAACAATAAAATTTCATTTTTATTTGCTTAAAATCTGTGTTAAATTATCTGTCTTGACCATTCCTTGTAAATGCAAAACCCGAAAGGCTTCTTACCATTCATACGTATACAGATGCAACTTTCCAGGTAGGCAAAAATAGAGCTAAATGATTTTCATATTTTATTGATGTAGTCCTGATAGCATTTGGCTCTATTCTAATGAGGTAGAGAGTCTGCAATTCATCTCATTTCTCACATACTCAAAGCAGATATAGTTATATAAGAAATATGACTGGTTAAGAATGTCACTGAGTCAAGCTAGATGTGAGTCCAAGGGGAGTTTGTGGAAATCAGAATGGCTAATCATTTGTATGGTTGTTAGATAGGTTGCATTTCTGTTAGGTCAAATTGTAAGAAAAAGTCATTGGATTTCAAGTCCTTGCAGTTGTAAACTGCAATGCCATGAGTTTGAGAAGTGACAGTGGGTGCTGGTCAGGATCATTATTCGTCTAGGCTGGATAATATTTAAAAAACAAAACAACAACCCAATCTCTTCACAAAATAGAAATTCTAGCTTTTAAAAAAAAAAAAAAAAAAAAAAAAAAAAAAAAAAAGTGTTTGTGGTTAAACCACAAGATGGCAGAAAAGCAAAATAAATATTTTTTTGCTGAGGCAGCTGCACTTGGAAACTGTCTGAAAACAGATACGATGGAGAAATTGACTGATTTTTCTTATGAAAATGTAGCTAAAGGCTTAATAAATTATGAGATATGTTAGGCATTACTTTAATTAGCATGGTCTAACTGTGACTTTTGCTAAACCATAGTATTGTACCTTTCCTTTACCTGCTGTTTGTTCGTTTGCTAGAGACAGCAAGTAAACAAGCTAGGCCTGATGGTTTCCTTTTTGGATTCCACTGGAATATGGTGTGCATGAAAGTGAGATGCAGAATAAAGTCTCTTTGTACCTGGAAGAAGAACCATGATTTCTCCTGAATGACAATTAATACTCAGTTTGTATATTTTATTAGTGTGTACTATCTGTGCTTTTAGAAAAAAATCAACATTCACATTATTCACAAAGTTGACTGCAAAAGCAGTTAGATTTTGCAAAACTAGTCAAATGCTAATGAGGTTCAGAAGGCATCTCACTTTGAAAAACAAAATATAGAAGTTGGATGGGGCCCTGAGAAACTTGATCTAGTGCCTGGGATTTACTTGTTGGCAATCCTTCCCACATCGGAGTTTGGTCGTAGCTGATCTTGAAGATCTTTCCAATCCAAGTCATTCTGTGATTCTATGGTGTTTTAAAATCATTTTTTTCTTTATCTGCTTTATCATTTGATACTAACACACTGCTATAGTCTTTTCCACAAGTGGATTTCAAATGAATCGGTTATGTTCCTTTCTAGTTCTTTCTGTGCAATGTAAATAAATTGGTATTTATCCCGTCTTCATTTTCAAAACCTCATCAGAATGATGTTAGTAGCAATGATATACAGTAACAGTGTATAGCTTTAGCATCAGTGATAGTTTTATAGAATCTTGAATCATTTAAACTGAAAAAAGACTGTCAAGATCACCATGTCCCTTAGTACTATGTCCACATATCTCTTGATTATCTCCAGAGATGAGGACTCCACCACATCCCTTGGCAGCCTCTTCCAATATATGACCACCCTTTTAGTGAAGAAGTTCTTCCTAATATCCAATCTAAGCTCTCCCTGTATTCTTTGAGGTTGTTTTTGTCATTTGTCACCTGAGAAAAGAGACCGACACCCTGCTCACAGCAATCTCCTGTAGGTGGTTGCAGGGAGTGATGAGATCTCCTCACTGCATCCTCTAAACAGCCCCATTTCTTCACCCAATTCTCTTGTTTTCCAGTCCCTCCACTAGTTTTGTTGCTTTTCTCTGCACACGCTCGAATAACTCAATATCCTTGTACGAGGGGGCCCGAAACTGAATATAGTGCTTGAAGAGTGGTCTTACCAATTCTGTGCACAGACAAGCAGTCATTTCTCTAATCTTGCTGACTGCAGCATTTCTGATGCAAGCCAGAATGCCCTTAGCCTTCTTAGCCACCTTGAGCACACTTATGGCTCTCATTCACATACGTAGCTCATGGATAGATGGACTCAGTCGCTTGGATATACCCTATTCCACAAATCCTCCATAACACTACATAATGCTGACTGTAATCCAGAGAACAGAACATGGCACAGGAGTTATTAATGTTCAGGAATTCTTGAACATTCTTCCAAGTGCAGCGATGTGAGTAAAAGACCCAAATCCATGTTTTTAATCTCTCTTGTCTTTGATACATTCACCACTCCATCTCAAACCTCATTTGTTGTAATGGTGGCTCTTCTAATCTATAAATACTCTGAAGCGTCAGCGAGATTTCTGAATCTGATCTTTCACCTATAAAGTCTGTATAAGAAGTATTTATTATTTCCAAAACATGTGGAACATATTTTGGACAGGCATTAGTGACAATGTCAAGTGTTATCTTTAGTTTTGTCTCACATTTTATTGCCTCTCCTTTCTGTTCCTAATCTTTTCATTTGTTGCTGCCATCTGTTTGCCTTCTATCAGAAACACATCTTATAACTAGGGAAGATGACTTTGATGATATGGCAGTGGCAAAGAGATTTCTGTATTGAGCCTTTCAAGAAGTGCACTGTTCTGCAGGTGCAACAGCTTTGTGTTGGCCATGAATCAAAAGCATAGATAGTATATTGAAGAACTTTTTTGCACACAGGAAATTGATAGTAGTTTATGGGTTTTCAGACCAGTTAAGTCATCATGACCAATCTCTGTATACTTAGTTCCCCTGTCAACAAAAGAAAAAAAGCATAACTGGAAAAATAATCATCACATTTTTTTAGCTCGTGTTTTGGGCTACAGCACACTGGTTTGTGATTTGTTGTTATTGAAATGTTGCTTCACAGTAGATGTAAAAGCTTTAAAGTAAACAGTAAAGTTAAAAGCTTTATCTAAAGCAGCTGATACTCTTAACGCAGTCTCTTTATTTAAAGCAGTCACTTCATTGCCTTTTCTGTGAATTGTCCATGATTGTTGGGAAGAGAGTGCCATCAGCAAGGCATAACGGCTACAGGGGTGCCTGTTTCTAATGTGTTATCTTAGTCATGTTGAGGAATTCCTAATTTGGTGTAGATAGAAGCTTGTTAGTGAGTAACAGAAGTAAATTCTGTGTGTGAATCTGAAAGTCCTTCAGCACTAGTGCAAGTTTTCCTTGAAAAGAGAGGCGTGTTAGTCAGATTGCAGTCAGGAAATACGATTCAGGTTCAGAAGAACGAAACTCATATTTCAGAGAAATATGAAAACAAAAATAGAAAGTTGAGATGACATTTTTTGAAGGGCAGATGTTCAACCAAAGCAAGGATTCTGCACCAAAATAATAAGATGATTTGATATTAGATTTTGCCTAGGAGAACTTATAGCAACAGTTAATCTTGCTTGTGTATAAGGCTAATTCTTCTAGAAATGTATTATTCTGAAAGTTTCCAGATGTACTTTCTCTGGAAATGTGTTACGATGAAAGCTTCTTGCAACTATCTGTCATTTTCCAACAGTAACAAGTAA